AAATAATTGTGTTTTAAAATAAGTTCAATTTTGCGGTGATCATGTTTGAGTACCACTTATATTTGGATACCAACCTATGCGAAATTTTATATGTTAAATTATAATCAAATTATTTTGGTTAATATCTTAGCAAGTACTCTAGTGATATAAAATGTTGAAAAAAATAAGTGACATGCAGCACTTTCCTGTATAATATTTTATTAACCAGTCACACCATGGTATAATTTGCTATAAAGAAAAAGAAAAAACAAACAAACCACAAACAAGTTGGCCAAAAACTAGAAAGCCAAGGGCATATCTGTCAAAAAGAAAGACAACACTTCATTGATAAAATACCCCCCCTCCCCAAGTGTTCATATGAGATTGATTGTCCACCATCTCTTCAACACTAAAACAAACCCAACTCAACACTCCATAGCTCCTCCTCTTCTTCTTCATGCTTCAACCATACCTTCCACAACTCTAAGACCCTATCTCAGGTCAAACACTTCCTAGTGTTATTGCCATGGACCGAAACCAAGTCCCTCAAGGCCTAACCCCAGAAGAGTTTTCCGAGCTTGACTCCCTCATTCGAACCTACCACACCTTCGAGCCCAAACCAAACACCTGCATTTCCCTCATAACACAACACATAGACGCACCATCAGATGTCGTGTGGCCATTGGTTCGAAGTTTCGACAGTCCCCAAAAATACAAACACTTCATCAAGAGCTGCAACATGACAGGTGATGGAGGTGTTGGAAGCATAAGAGAAGTCACAGTTGTCTCGGGACTCCCCGCTTCGACGAGCACCGAGAGATTGGAGATTTTGGATGATGAGAAGCATATTCTGAGCTTTAGGGTTGTTGGAGGTGAGCATAGGTTGAATAATTATAGATCAGTTACGTCTGTGAATGAGTTTAATAAGGATGGGAAGGTTTATACTATTGTTTTGGAGTCTTATGTTGTTGACATACCAGAAGGGAATACTGGTGGAGATACTAAGATGTTTGTGGACACTGTTGTGAAGCTCAATCTTCAGAAGCTTGGAGTGGTGGCAATGGCCTCTTTGCATGGGCATGAATGAAGGAGGGTGGAGGTGGCAGAAAAAATTACGTGCACAGAAAAATGCACAGAATGCTAATTTTTAATGCACTTATTGAGTTTTGTATTATTTATATATATATATATATATATATTTTATTTGTTCTGTTACTTATGCAGAAATCAATTATAGAATCAAGTATAATATTCTTATATGGGCGTGAGACTATAAAAACTAAAAATACAAAAACTCATCTTATGTAAAAAGATTATGTGTAACGATTTCTGAATTTTTAATTTTTTTTTTTCATTTTTTGAACACATAATGCTACCGGAGGTGGTGGTGGGTCAACTATGAATGATGGTGCAAAATAACTACCATAGTGGTGGTGGGTCATATTTTCTTTTGAGTTCTTGGTGGTTGATAAGTATGGTTTCTGCGAGTCGGAATTGGTGGGTATAGTTTAGTGTTGTTCTTTTTTTATTATTATTTTATATGTTGAATTCAGTTATAGTTATATGGGTTACCATCAATATTATGCATTTTGTCTTTAATAAAATATTGGTGGACCCATTAAAAACAGAATTGTCAAGACGACGGCTTCATTTCTTATCATGTCTTTGGATGGATTCATATTAGGAATATTAGGAATGATGAAAAAAATATCATGAAATATATTATGAAAATTTTTTATCCTTTGATTAGTGTATGGCGTTTTATTATATGCGTAATCTAAAGGTGAAAATTTTTTTATGATCATTTTCATGATATTTTTTTGATGATCCCTAGCATTATTCTTTACAATTTTAATCTCACAATTTTATCACAATTTATTTATTATTTTTTAATTTGTCACAAATTTAATCATGTAACTTTCAGCCCCCTTACTAGAATTTTAATCCCACCATCATATTTTATAATATTTTTTTGGGTACATATTTATATGAATTTTGATGAATCACACATACACTTGAGAATTGAGGGTGTGGATTACTATTATTATTATTATTATATGAGAGTTTATATATATGTAGAATTGCTTACGAGAGTTTATATATGTAGAATTGAACAAATAAGCACTAAAAAGTATATTAAAGAAATTGATGAATGGAATATGATGGCGTGAAGGGCTTGTTTTTAGAATTTGCATTGAGAGAGATGTGTTTAATTTTATGCAGGCCATGACTTTTGATCTCATTATTGGAAAGCTTTTTCCTTAGACAAAGCCTCACTTTGTTTATATAATTTTGCATGAAAATAATAAAATAAAATTCACATATCTTTTGACCCTCGAGTTATGCATTTTCATATTAATATATATATATATATATATAATTTGCCATAACATTCACATATATCTTAACATGAGCCGGCATGATGTTCAAAAGTTGACAAGCAAGGTAAATAAAAAGAGGAATGATGTATATATGATATTATTGATTTGATTAATTTGATTTTATTTGCACAAATAATTTACATACAATCTCATCAAAGTCAAACCTGTGGTAGGTTTCATGGGCCTTCGATAGGACGGCCATTGAAGACAAGCTTAGTCTATATAAAATTGTATAATTCTATAAATCCAGAATTATTACTCAGAATTTTATCTAGAAACACAATGTGTGACTCATATTCACTCAACTATAAGCCTCACAATATACACCAATATAATCCTAGCCACACAGTCCATTTCTTGGTTGTCTTCCTGGCTCCAATGCTTGGGACAGCATTCAAAAAAAAAAAAAGTTTGGGACAGTGGACTTTTTCTATAAAATTACTTACCTTCACATTTTTCACCTAAAAAAGGAAAGAAAAAAAAAATAGACCAAAGGATTAGCCTAGGGAGGAGACACTTCTCCTTCCTCCATTACCTTCCTATTGATTGTAAGAAAAATAAAAAAATAAAAAAAGAGACAGAACGATTCAGAAAGAAGTCAGCTTTGATTCCTCCTCTTCTTCTTCTTCTTCTCCAAATTATTATTTATGTATCTTTAAAATTTGATTAAACAAATCTTATCTTGATCCAATTCTGTATTTTATTTTTATTTTTTTTGGATAAAAATTATAGCTTGAGAAATGAAATTGGACTTATGTAGAGTAGCATCAAGCTTTAAATTTTTTTTCCCCTTTCTTTTTGTTTTAATATTATTATTTTTTTGGATTCCCATTCAGCCTTTTTGAATGTTAGGGAATCAGTATATATTAAAAAAAATAAAAATAAAAAAACAGTTGGCAGAATTGTACTCTCTTTTCCATTAAAAAGTCAAACAAGAATGAAAACCGACATTGCAGACATTCCAAACATTATACTCTGTTTGGTTTGGTTG